GGAGCACCCAAAGTGCATGTGAAGAATGTGGAAACAAAGCCACACTTCCCCTGTGGTTGCGTTGCTATGGGGCTACGCAAATCAGTTAGTTAATAGAAAGTCCACTAAGTTAGATGCCTAATTTATTTGACAGGTACTTTGGACAATATTCCCGCTGGATCTTTCAGCACCTAAATGCCTTCTTAGAAATCTGCCCTCTGATCTAAGATTGCAAATTCATTTTATGTAGGTCATCAAATAGCACCCCTGTTCATACTTGAACCAGAAACCTTAAAGCAGTGGTCAAGAACCAGTGGACCTCGATCCATCAGTAGATCTCGGAGCCTCTTGCAGTAAATCTTGGAGCCTCTTGGAGTCAATCTGAGGCTGGGGTGGGGGGCTGAGTGTCAGCATACATGCACATGTGCACCATCCAGCTGGTCAGTCCATGGGGGAGGGAAGGGGCAGGGACTAGATTGAGGCCGCCGTGGTGAGAGAGAGTGCCGCAAAGGGAGGAGCAGGTGCCCTGGCTGGGTGGGACTTAGCTGCTGGGGAGACACACCCCCAAATAATTTTTCTCTCTCTGCCCCCCTCCCTTACCTCCCCACTGACTTAGCTGCTGGGAGGGTGTGTGCGTGTTGGTGGGGTGGGGGAGTGGCAGCAGCACATGGTAGATCTTGGGTTGCTTTTAAATGCCAAAGGTGATCGCCTGCTTTAAAAAGTTGGAGACCACTGCCTTAGAGTGAACCACCTTAGATGCTTTGTGAAGCCCTGGCTCTGTGGTAGCATTGTAAAAGTTGATGGGACCTTTTTTACCTGCCAAGAGTTTGACATTCTGTTTCCTTACAGCAGCTTCCACAGAACTCCTCTGAGCTCTGATCTTTCATCAGATTCCTTGCAGCTGAGGAACGAAACTTAGTTTTGAGATAAATTGTCAGCCAATACCTCATTTAAAACATGCTGGTCCAAATCCATCCCTGCTGAAACACCACAGAGTCAACGGGAGCTATTAAAAGAGGAGTGATTCAGTCCAGGGGTAAACAGGTAGAACATTTCCACTTCAGATGACAACTCATGTGGGACAACTCACCTAAGGAAAAGAAGCAGAATTTGGCTCCAGGTCTGAATTATCTGTGTGCGGATCTAGGTGTCAAAGGCCAGACATGTTTTATTGTCAAAACATAGAGCTAGAGCTCTCCAGACCAGGCTTCATAGAAGGTTTCTATTGCTTCTTGGACTAATTAAAGGCAGAAATAACATATTGCCTTTAGTACAATAATTTAGAGTGGCTGAGTCTTTTTTCACATAGAAAATGTCCAATACAGTATGTCATATCACAGTAAAGTTTCGCTGTTCGGGTGAATTATTTGCAGTACAAAGAGGATTCTTCGCATATGCAAGAACAGAGACACTCCAAGATTTGGGAAAAAAATAGCTTGGTCCACTTTGAAAAAGCTTCCCAAATAGTTCAGATGTATTGTTGGTCCACTCATTTTATAAAGATAATGCTACAGAAACACAACATTGGAAGATGCTTCTTAATCCATTAAGCCCACTTCCCCATATCTGCATGCAACCAAAGAGTCTTAAAAATTCTGCACTCTAATTCATCACACGTTATAATTAGAACAGCACTTTATCACAGCAACCTAAAATGTCCTGCAAGGTATGAGGGGTAAGAAGTGAGGGAGACAAGGTCAAGACCAAAGCTCTGACACAATTTGGCAGAAAAGCAATTTATTACATGCTCAGAATATGTTAGGAAGAGAACCATGCCCCATATTATAGGGTAAGAAGTGGGGAGCGGGGAACAAGAGTCCTTGCAAACTGAACCAGGAAAAAAAAATTTTTCCTGACCACAATCTTGATATTGGTTTGACCCTGAGTGGAATAGGAAGACTCTCTTTCCAGGTACCTGTAAGGTTGCCAGGCACCAGTAGGAGAGCCAGTGTATCTAACCCAAATATCTACTTCTTACATGACACTCTTTAACCTGGAGATCTCAGTACTTTATAAAGGAGGTAAATATCATTTTACAGAGCCATAGAGAAATGAAATAACTTGCCCATGAACACTCAACAGGCCATTGATAGAACAAGGACTAGAACCCAATTATAACATACCATGTAAAAATGATAATTAACATTTTCTTAATAAAGTTTTTAAAACTACTAAGCCATAATGTGTCCCAGAATCATAGAAAATGAGGGTTGGCAGGGACCTCAGGAGGTCACATCTGGTCCAACCCCCTGCTCAAAGCAGGACCAGCCCCAACTAGATGATCCCAGCCAAAGCTTTGTCTAGCCGGGTTTTGATAACCCCAAAGGATGGAGAGCCCACCACCTGCCTGGGTAACCTGTTCCAGTGTTTTATTAGTGAGACAATTCTTCCTAATATCCAACCTAAACCTCCCTTGCTACAACTTGAGACCATGGCGCCTTGTTCTGTCATCTGCCACCGCTAAGAACAGTCCAGCTCCATCCTCTTTTGAACCCCCTTCAGGGAGTTGAAGGCTGCTATTAAATCCTCTTTTAGTCCTCTCTTCTCTAGACTAAATAAGCCCAGTTCCCTAAGACTTTCCTCATAATTCATATTCCCCAGCCCCCAAACCATTTTTTTCACCCTCCTCTGGACTCTTTCCAATTTGTCCACATCCTTTTTGTAATGCAGGGCCCTAAACTGAACACAATACTCCAGGTGTGGCCTTTCCAATACTGAATAGAGAGGAAGAATCACTTACCTTGACCTATTGGCAACACACCTACCAAGGCAGCCCAGGATGCCATTAGCTTTCTTGGCAACAAGGGCACACTGCTAGCTCCTATTCAGCTTATTGTCCACTGTAACCCCAGGTCCTTTCGGCAGAGCTGCTGCCCAGCCAGTCAGCTGTACCAGTGCACAGGATTGTTCTGTCCTAAGTGTGGGACTTTACTCTTATCCTTTTTGAACCTCATGAGATTCCTTTTGACCCAATCCTCCAATTTGTCCAAGTCACTCTGAATCCTAGCCCTACCTTCCAGTGTATCCACTATTCCTCCCCCACCCCCCCCTCACAGTGTGGTGTCATCTCAAACTTGCTGAGGGTGCACTCTATACCATCTTCCAGGTCATTGATGAAAACATTGAACAAAACTGGCTCCAGGGCCAACCCCTGGGGCTGGACCATTTGTTACCAGCTGCCAACTAGACATTGAGCCATTGATGACTACTCCCTGACCATGATGCTCCAGACAGTTTTCTATCCATCTTACAGTCCATTCATCTAGCCCATATGTCCTTGACTTGCCTGTGAGAATGTTGTAGGAGATTGTACCAAAAGCCTTGGTAAAATCAAGGTACACCACACCCACTGGTCTCCCCACATCCACGAAGCCAGTCACCTCATCAAAGAAGACAATCAGGTTGGTCAGGCATGACTTGCCCTTGCTGAATCCATGCTGACTGTTCTCAGTTAGCTTCTTCTCCTCCAAATGCTTAGAAATTGATTCCTTGAGGATCTTCTTCATGATTTTATCAGGGACTGACGTGAGGCTGACTGACCTGTAGTTCCCTGGATCCTCCTTTTATCCTTTCTTAAATATGGGCACTATGTTTGCCCTTTTCCAATCATCTGGGACCTCTCCTGATTGCCATGAGTTTTCAAAGACGATGGCCAGTGGCTCTGCAATCATATCAGCCAACTCCCTCAGCACCCTTGGGTGCATCCTATCTGGTCCCATGGACTTGTACACATCCAGCTTTTCTAAATAGTCCTTAACCTGTTCTTAAACTACTGTTGGCTGCTCACCTCCTCCCCAAACTGTGCTGCCCAGTGCAGTAGTCTGGGAGCTGACCTTGCCTGTGAAGACTGAGGCAAAAAAGGCATTGATACTTCAGCCTTTTCTGCATCCTCTGTCACAAAGCTGCCTCCCGCATTCATATTGTCTTTGGACACAAGGCATTTTCTTAGGTGCACTTTTTAATCATATAAAGAGAGTGCTGCTGTAATAGGCTTGTTAATTAATGGGGGCATTTGCTTTTTACTAGTGGAACAAGTATAATTTCTCTTGGACAAATCATGTTTTCTAATGCAAGGGTGTCAAAGATACATCCTGTGAGCTGGGTTCAGCCCAAGGAGTCCTATCACCTGGCCTGCAGTGCTGCCTGTGGGTCTCAGATCAACCCACTGAATGTAGCACATGCCTGATTGGCATCTGGAGCCAGCACACACCATAAACAGCATGTGGAGCCAGTCTGTCCCATGTGCTGCATGCAACACCCATGCCTGATTGGGTCTGCATGCTGGGTTCAGGTCTAGTCCAGATCTGGCCCACAGACCAGCTCCATGTGCTGAAACCAGCTGGCAAGGCCAGTCCAGTGCTGAAGCCAGTGGATGCTGCATGCAACATGTGGGACTGGTGTGGGGCATATCCTGCAAGTGGTGCTCTTTCCATACCAGCCTTGTCTGTGGGCTGGATTGGCACTCTGGCTCCAGCATATGCAGGCTGGGCTTTATCTGAACTGCAGACTGGCCCCAGACCATTTATCCAACCCTCAAGCCAGATGAGGTTGACACCCCTGTTCTACATGGAATCCCAATTACTTCAAATAAGAACCATATTAGTCCCATGTGCCCACAGATATCTCTAGAGATTATTTCACCATTACCTGGCACTTTGTGTAGTCCAAGTAAATGTAATATAACAAATCTTTCTGATCTGGTAGCACTGGATATCCATTTTGTAATAGTGTAAATGACTTCACATGGTGAAGACAACAGTCAACAGAGCTCTAAGAGGAAATGAGACATCTTGGCATGATGTACTTCATTTTCCATTTCTATAAAATGTAGCTGGTCATACTGACCTTACTAAACCATGTGAAGATCTACAGCGGGAAAGTGCTTTGTGAAAGCAAGTATTTTTATTATTATGATATCATACACAGGGGTGGTGATGGAGCATTGTTTCAAAATTGGAAACTTATTACAATTTCAGAAGTGACTAGAGGTGTTTCACTTCAGACCCTCACTTCAGAAAGTTTTGGCCGCCTATCTCTTGAAAATTCAACCCCATTAGGGTGTCATGGGTTTGGCAGCCAGAAGGGTTTGCTCTCTTTGTGTGGATCCATGGTTCAGTTGAAGAGTGAAGATTGCAGAGGTTGTGAGTTGAAGTCTGGGTGGAGCTGCTGAGATTCTCCTGGGGCGTGGGTGGGCAAAAACATTTTGGGGCTGGATTCGATGATCTTCCAAAGTCCCTTCCAGCCCTAATGTCTATGAAATAATACCAGAAAAACATTAGCCATATCATAAAATGTAGGCCAGACTCAGCTTGTCTGTAAGCATACCCACTGCACCCCTCCAGAAATGTGTTTTGAGTCAGTTCTTCTTTCAAGATGAAATACTGCATATCTAAACAAATGCATTGAATCCATTTTCACGAAGCAATTTTTTTTTGGCAAGATGCTATGACCTTTCCAAACAAAAAACTTAACTTAATCCCTTCTTCACAGTTAGAGGGGGAAACTAATGGTGTTCCAGAATCTCTAAGGCTCTTTGAATCCTGTTATTGTATTTTTTTCCCCCTTAGTGGGCATTAATTTAATTTCTTTGCCAGGTTTTAGGGATCTGTGATGCTTGAGCCAAATTGCAGCTTAGTAAATTTTTGTGACAGACTACACCAACATTCACATGATGCACTCATGTGCTACATACCCACAGTGCAATATACATAAGCCTCTTTCAAGGAAAGTCAACTTTTAAAATGACTGAACATCCTGGATTACACTGAAAATGGCATCTCATTTTAGCTGAGTAATCCTAGCATGAGATTTTAAAAAATGAGAGAAACCAAGCAGGGTAAATCTTGGTCAGTGATACAGACAGCAATTAGGTCAACATAAGCAGAGAGTGGAGGGTTCCCAAGCAATAGGAAAGCTGATCTGCACATTCAAAACCTATAAAGATTTAATATGCTTTGAAATAATATTTTTGTTTTATTGATTCCTGTGATGTTTTCTTCCTTCTGTGGTAGCGATCCTTTTGGAGAGGAGCAAGCTCAATGTTTTGGGCTCTGTACTTTGAATTCACCTTCATTTTACCTGCTCAACGTACTACAGGTTTTCACATACCCCAGAGTAAGATATGTGCATTGTTTTTCAAAGGCACTATGGAAAAAAAAGATTGTCCTTTAAAAATACTGGTAAGTAGCAGTAATGGAGAAGTAGCAGATAAGGAGTTTAGCATGTTCTTTGTGCCACTCCTTCTGTAGCACATGCAGTGATGCTTTCACTCCCCCTGCCCTGCCCTGCCCTGCCCAACCTCCCTTCCACGAAGGCTTAAGATACAAAAACTGCTTTTGCCATTTTTCCCTGCTTGCATGCCCCAATTTCCAGCAGCTGACTTTTGCAAAAAAAGGGGTAGATTATATGGGAGAAAATACAGTAACTAATGGACAATGCCCAGTACTTTTCATTCCTAAATCATTAAGGGCGTTTATACACATATGTTTTTGTCCTGCAATGTGTTTGAGATCTGCCACTTCCAAGCAGATTCAATTAATCAAGTCTGCTCTGCACGCGAGCTGATGCAAACTGTGCGTAGTTGTATAAGCAGTGAAATGCACAGCAACGTGCAGAAAATGGTGGTGGTGCACTTTTGAACTAAAGCACCTCCGATGTGTTTTAGTTCAAGAGCATGCCACCACCATTTTCTCAGCACTGACATGCATTTCGCTGCTTATACAACTTCATGTACCACAGCACCGGGCACTTTTCAAAGTGCCTGCCATTGCTGGCATGTGCATATGTACAAATGCCCCAAGTGCTTTACAAGAAGGCCTGTGTTTTACAGAATGAGAAAAACTGAGGAATGGGAAGGGGAAACTGCCTGTTACCCCTCCAAAAAACAATGTTAGAGAGGAAAGTTGAATCTAGGTCTCTTATTTCCCCATGTAAAATCGTGCTTACTAGGCCCTATTTCTTTATTCTTAGAGGGCTAAGAGAAAAGCATCTAAGGCATTAATTTGCATTAGACCAAGGGTCGGCACTGTTTTTGAACAGAGCGCCAAACCCTGCCCCCCCCCCAAACCGTGACTTGTAAGATGTTGGCGAGCCAGGAGAAACTGTGAGGGGCCCAATCCTTGTGGCAGTGCAGCCTGGTTAGTGTTGCCAACTCTATTTGAATCTATTGCAGGAGATTTCCAGAATGCCAGCATGCCTGAGACACACAACACGAATGTGCCCACATGCTTCCATATATCAGTTAGGGATTACAGTGCGTAGACTTTATACCAGAAGGCAAATGCACATGACTATTACATTTTAAAACCCCCTGGACTACTGTATAGATCTAATTTACCATTTAATATTTATTTTAATGAATGGCCTATCATTTATCACCTGGGTGACTCTCAACAGTCTCCTGGAGATTTATATCTATTTCCTAGAGATTTCAGGACAATCCTGGAGGGTTGGCAACCCAAGCTCCAGCCCCTTCCCTGCTGTCTGCCTGGAGGTGCATGTGCACCGGATGCTGGCAATGAGTTGGGCTGGGCCCCATGGACTCTTGCATCTCCCAGCTGCCTGGAAGCTGGACTGGGCTCTGGGCAGGCCTCTGCCACCTGCCACAGATCCTAGGCTGCTCACAGCAGATGTGGGAGCTGCACTGGTGTCCATGGAGTCCTGGCCCAGATCATTGCCAGAGGCAGGTGCACGTGGGCTTTGGGGAAGATGGTAGAGGAGCTGCTAGGGACCCAATCCCAGCCCCAGCCCCTTCCCTGCCAACCACCCCAAGGGGTGTGTGCTAAGCAAAGTGCCTTCATGTTCCATGTTCTGGCATGCATGGTGGGGGTTGCTGACCCCTGTATTAGACCAAATATCTCTGATAGTGGCATTATTCTGAGGCATGTAGTATTCCAGTGGCCACTTGCTCACCGTCACTTTTTGTGATCAGGCTATTAGTGTCTGGACACTCGAGAAGGTCAGTGCTAGCAAGTGGTCTTCTAGAGTCCAGGTATGGCATAGAAAATATTACTGAAATTTGCATTCTGTGATGAAAGCTCAGACAGGTTTATTATCACTCAGCTTATTATCACCAGTGCACTGGCTGATCTGCTTAGAGCCAGGTCAATTCAATAAAATTGCCAGGAAAACAGAGCAATTCCTTGTGTCAATCAAACTCCCCTATATTGCTACCAAAACCAAAAAAACCCCCTACTAAAATGCCCCTTATTTATAACCTAATGCCCAAGTATTCGTGTCAGGACATATCTATCTTTATGCCCAGATATCCATTTCTATTTGTTTCTTTGCTATGTTCATACCAGGCCCCGTTGGTTCTTCTATTATGTCTGCACCTGCCCTCATTAATTTTACTTTAATCCTACTACTCCTTTCTCACACCAGCTTTTCTGCTCGTTCATGGATTTTTAATAGGGGAGCAACATTTCTTCTTGGTTCATCCAGAGGTCAGCAAAGCCTGTTTTCCCAAGCTCCTTTTTGGCACCTTGGCTTAAGCCCAGCATAGCAGAATTACAATTTAACATTACCAAAAGTCCTACAGGTGTAACTAATTTTATCTCTGCTGAACTTAATACGGCTATGTTAGTTTATACCATTAGGACTTCTGGACCCTAATAGTAAGAGAAGTTGGGTCTCTTAAGTGTGAAAATAGCTATTGGCTAATTTTTACACTTCTGCAGTTTGGCTCAGGCTGCTAGAAGCCCCTGAGTTGTTGCTAACAATTAGGCCTACATTCTTCCAGGAATCTCTTGGGGCCATATTGATTGTTAACTTATTACTGCTAAAGTCGGTGTTACACCAGGGATTAAATTGGAAACTGCCTTTTATCCACCTTATTTGGCAAGAGACAGCTGATTCCCTAAGAAAAAAAGGAATTTAAACCAGAAATGTATCCCAGCTTTGAATTTTATAGGATAGGAGAGAGTATAATTTGTGCAAGATGCTTAGATGGAGTCAAGTAGCATCCCTTCAATCCTAGCATGGGCATACTTCTTCAAATATTCCCAGTAGGCTTTCTCTACCAAAGGCCATTTTGTACTGGCGGCTGATTTCCAAATGCAAACAGAAAGTCCTCAGAAATACATTCATTACACAATGGTGAACACTGCTGTGAAGCCCATTGCTTGAGGATTCACTAAAGTTTTTGCCACTTTATCTCTTCTAGACACTATACTTCGGTCCTTAGGACTATTCAAATGCTTGTGACACAAACAGTGGTCACCTCCATTTGCCTACCTGATATATGTAATTGGGGATATATATATCTTTAAGTGCCCACACAGACTTGGACCAATGAATAGATCTGGATTCTACATGATTTTCCCATTGCACAAATATTTTCAAGATACCAATTTTTAAAAATTCCATACTGGGACAAAACCTGGACTTTTTGATTTTTGTTTAGTAAGAAAACAGCGAGT